GTGCTGTGAATCAAACTCAGGACTCCAAGAACGCTAAATATGCATTCTACCAACTGAACTACAACTCCAGGCCCCTCCTCTCTCTCTTTTTTCCCACCCCCTCGAGGCTTTCATGCATCTCAGGCTGGCTTCCTTATCATTTCTTCATCTCCATCAGGTGATCAGATTATAAGCACACACTGCCATATCCAGCTCTTCAGTGTACACTTTCACTTAGCTTATTTGAACCTCTTAACAATATAAATAAGGGTTTTCAAGAGAGAGAGGCGGGGGAGGAAGGAGGGAGAGTGAGTGAGTGAGTGAGTGAGTGAGTGAGGAGAGGGAGGGAGGGAGGGAGAGAGGAGGGGATGAGATGTTATGTGAGTTGGTGAGATGGCTCAGCAGGTAAAGATGTTTGCTGCCAAGCCTGATGACCTGAAATCCACCCCAAGAACTCACATGGTGGAAGCAGATACCCAATTCCCACAGGTTGTCCTCTGACCTCCACATCTGACTTCCACATGTGCCTATAATAAATACATAGTTAAATAAACAAATATAATTTTAAAAATTAAAGAGAGGGCTTACAAGTTGAGCATGGTAGTAAATGCCTATAATCGTAACAGGAGGCAAATGACATGAGGATTGCTATGACTTTAAAGACAATCGAGGCTATAAAGGGAGTTTCTGTATAAATAATAGAAGTATGGTATGGTAGTTTGAATGTAATTGCCCCCCCATAATCTCTATTATGGCACTATTAGGAGGTATGGCTTTGTTGGAGTGGGTAAAGCCTTGTTGGAGAAAGTGTGTCACTGCTGGGGTGGGCTTTGAGGTTTCCTATGCTCAGGATAGCTCCCAGTGTCTCAGTTGACTTCTTGTTGTCTACCATGATAAGAATGTACTGAACCTCTGAAACTCTAAATCGAGCCACCCCAATTAAATGTTTTCCTTTATCAGAGTTGCTATTGTCATGGTGTCTCTTCACAGCAGTAGAAACCATAACTAAGACATTTGAGCTTTTCACTATTTGAATGCAAGTTATAAAAAGGAAGACAAATTGGTTAGGATCATCGACATAGTAAATAAATGGAGCACTTCACACAATGTGAACTTGTGGTTGGTTTAACATAGATGCAGGTAGCCACATTTAACAATATTTATAGGCAAGTATACATGTACCAATTAGTACACATACTTACTTCCTTTTGCTGAGTCTAGAAGCTAAGTATCACAGCAGCAACAAAGCCACACATTCTTGAATAAAGGGAGGCCAGACTTCTTGGAGAAATGGAGGAGGAGATAAGTACAAGATGAGCCTAGAAAGTATGCTCAGAAGTAAAGAAATGCTCCAAAAACAAAACAAATCACCACAGTGGAGGTATATCAAAGGACAAAGGGGATGACTGAAAGCTCTCTGTAGTCAAAGTTTCAATGACTTGAATAAAGAAGTTGGCACTCTATTAAAATCCAAAGTATAAAATAAAATACATGAGCTCATTGTGGTATAAACAAATCATTGTACCAGGTGTGGTGGAACATACCTGTTGCCCAGCACTTGGGAGGAAGATGCAGGAGGATCATGATTTTTCAGCCATCTAGAGCTACTGAGTGAGACCCCACCTCCCCAATGAACCTCTCCAATTCAGTAATTTAATGAATGAATGTATGGTTAATTGAGTTGTTTCTTACTGAGAAAAATTCTGAATTATTGATGATTATTGATTGAAATATTGATGAATAACTGAGGATGTAGGGCTGCATACATTATGGAAGTGGGTATATTTTATTAGTTTGTTGGCCAATGGACCACAGAGAGGTGGCCTAAATGACAGAAGTGAATCTTATCATTTCTGAAAGCTGGAAGCCCAAGAGCAAGGTATCCACAGAGTTGATTTCTTTTGAGGCTCTGTAGTTGAGCCTGACTTTGAACTTCTGATCCTGTTGCTGCCATCTCTATAGAGGGCTGGGATACACCACCATGCCCAGCAGATAATCTGTTATAACACTACAGTGATTAGCATTTATAACTGCTTCAATATTAATCACTATCTGTTTAGAATCTTAGACCTTTTTCTAATTTTTACTCTAATAATGGTTATAAACTGAAATTAACTTATAGTTTAAACTATTCTACTTTTTCAAGCAGGTTCAAAATATGAAACCCTGGTCATCCTGAACTTGCAGTGATTTTCCTGCCTCTGTCTCCTGAGTGCTAGGTTATAGATATAAAAAATGTATAGATGCTTTTCCATATCAGTGTTTCATTCCCTCAAGCTGTTCCTCTGTCTGTCCTTCAGTCAGAAAAGACTTCCCATCCATCAGGACTTTTTCATTCACACAAATTTCACTATTCCCAGTACCCAGTCTTCAGAAACATTTAAAAATTAGGATAGGTATGAACGCTGAGTAATTTCAACAACTAGGAATTAATACTTTGTTTCTGCTTCTAGACTTAGGCCAGGTCTAAAGAACTAGAATTATTACTTTATAAGACAGTGTTGTAGACTGCCCCTTCCTTACCCCTGTAACCAATTCTTGCAATGAGCTCCTCACAGGCCAAGGAAAATTCATTTTTGTGTTTTTATTATTTAAAGTGTTTTGAATTCTGTAATGTGGGTTCTATTTTAAGTTTCTGGTCTCCCCATACTCTCTCTTCTCTCACCCTCTCTACTTAGTTTTCCTCCAGCATATGCTGATATGGGTTGAATTATGTCCATTCAAAAGGTGCTGATGTCCTACCCACCTCTGTACCTATACAAATGTGATCTTATTTGGAGACACTATCTTTTGCAGGCAATAAAACTGAAATGAAGTCATGAAGTAGTATTCAATTCAATATTACCAGTGTCCTTGTAAAAAGGGGAATTTGAATATAGTGACATGTATGCACTGTGGAAGAGTGTCCAATGAAGATGAAGACAAAGATGGGGTATTGTATAAATGTCAAGATATGAAAAAGTCCAGTGTAGTGGCACACTTTTGTAATCCCAGCATTGGGATGCTGAGGCACAAGGATGAGTTCCAGGTTGGCCTTGTTATATAAAGAGACTCTGGGTCTAAAAAAAGAAAAAGGAAAAAAAAGTTTCTGAACAAAACACCAGAAACCAGGAGAAAGACATGGGACACACTGTCCCTTACAGTCCTGAGAAGGACCCACATGCTGAGACCTTGTTCTAGGATTTCCAGTTCCAGAGGTGAGATGGTACATTTCCATTGTTGAAGCACACTTCGTAGCATTTATATTACTCTAACAAATGAATACATACACTCCTAACTTTCTATGTGTCTCCCTCACAAGAATGAAAGCCCATGAAGTCATAGAGGTTTCATGCCAATCCTGGACATGCAGAATAATGTCTGGTATATTGTAGCTCCAAATAGTGATTGATAAAAGTAGCATTCATGAATATATATATTCATGTATATATTATCCCTTGTGAAATATTCCTTACACTGTGTGAATATACATTATTGTGACTGGCTTAATAAAGAATCTGACTAGCCAGTAACTGGACAAGATAAGGTTAGGCAGGAGAATCAAACTGAGAATGCTGGGAAGGAGAAGGCGGAGTCTGGAGTCATGACAGATGCAGAGAGAAGCAAGATGGGCATACCATACTGAGAAAAGGTACCAAGCTTTATGTGGCAAAGCGTACATGAGAAATATGGGTAAATTTAAATGTAAGAGTTAGCTAGTAACAAGCCTCAACTCTTGGCCAAACATTTATAATTCATATTGAGTCTCCGTGTTGGTTATTTGGTAACTGGCAGGTGGGAAAGAAAAGTCTATCTACAGTCCTCGACTTGGAATAGTTCAACTTACAGTTTTTTTGACTTTGCTCTGTTGTGAAAGTGGCACATATTCAGTGGAAAATGTATTCCTTCTCTCTCTCTGATCCCTCTTTTTGGTGGTATTGGAGTGGAACCCAGCGCCTCACACATGCTAGGCAAGTGCAGTAACACTTGCTATAACCCCAGTCCTGAACTTTTGAAAAACTTTTATACTTAAAAGTTATTTTATGTGTCTTTGTGTTTAACCTGCATGTATGCCTGAGTGCCTGGTACTCATGGGGACCAAAACAGGAGTCACAGACAGTCATGAGCCAACATGTGGGTGCCGAGTACTGAAAGCACATGAATTAGCAGCCAATGCTCTTAATAACTGAGCCATCTCTCTAACCCTGAATTTTTGAATTTTATTCTTTTTTTTGACCTAGTTAAATTCAGTAAGATACTGCTTTATGTTGCTGAGCAGTTGTAAGCTGTAGCTCCCAGTCAGCTATGCTATCACCAAAGCAAATGACTGATACCTACACTACAGTTGTCAACATTTTTTGACAAGTATGCAATAAATTACCTAAGATATTCACCACTATCATTAGCTGTGCTTTGTGTTAGATGACTTCACCCAACAATAGGCTAATTTAGGTGTTCTGAGCAGGTTCAAGATAGGTGAGGCTAACCTGTGCTGCCACTGTTCAGGTTAGGAGCATTAAGTGCACTTTAAATTAACAGTGTTTCTGATTTATAATGGGTTTGTCATTATAACTCATTTAAGTTAAAAAGAGAAAGTCAAGGAGCTCCTGAATTTTGGAGGAAAGACTTTGTTTTTGTTTGTTTTTCATTTTCATTTAAACTTGAACAGTGTGTTCATTTGAAACAGCCCACAAGAAAATGTTAACTTAAAAGGCGATAGCTGGAAATTGTATCAATTTACAATAAAATATACAATACCTTATGCCTACTTCTGGAGTGTGAACCCTACTTCTGGTTTTCAAACCTTACTAATGACAGAGTGCTTTGGGCTATAAATATATATTTATATATTTACATGTATGCATAAGATAGAAGAGTCCATCCATCAGAATTCCCATTGCTGGTTGTGTGTGTTTTGTTTAAAGTCTGTTCTTTTCCTGAATGAAGCAAGAGGTTAGTGGTCAGAAACTCATTTCCCAACTGTATATGGTGGTATGCATCTGTAATTCCAGCACTCCCAGTACTCAGGAGGGAGAGGTAAGATGGTTCCAGGTGAGCCGCAGCTACATAAAGAGACTTTACCTCCATCACTCCAAAAAAAGAAAAACTTTCTCCTATTCCTCATCTCCCTGTTCTTTTATTATGGCCTCAAACATCTGGGTGGTTGAATACATGTGTTTGATAATTATCACTTGAATTTTCTTTTTGTTCATGTAAAAAATCACTTTTATAAGAACTCTGGAGGTTTTATTTTGGGTGTTTTTGTTTTCCTCCACCATACTCAGTATTTCTCAACAGTTCTGACAGGTAGGTATTATCTGGAGAGTAAGACGACAGGTACCTTGTATAGTCATGAAGGAAGTATAAGAGATAGGAGCTAAGTCTCCCAAATTTCTACTCTATGCTTTGTATGTTCTTGTCAAAAGTGCATTTTTGTCTCTTTTCACAGCTGGACGACAAAAGGATGGAATCCAGAAACATCAAAGTGACATGATTTCAGTGCAGGAACCTGTAGCCATTTTCTCTGGCATTCTAAAGATACTGGGGGATAGTGAGCAAGTGGGGGAAGGGGCTGAGTTCTAGAAACAGAAGGCTCGCTCTGTCTTCCCTTTAGTGAATAGTCTACTTTCAAATAGTCATTCCTCAAGCTCAGACACAACCAGGGAACCAGCCTGGTGCATTGACCTTGATTGGACTGGGCTCAGAAGCACACCTCTAAAATTTCGGTGTTTGCAAGGCAGAGGCGGAGGATGGAGAGTTTGAAGCCAGCCTGAACTACTTAGTGAGACCTGACTCAAAAACCAACGAACCAAACTAAATTTGGTCCCAGTTTCCCATTACAGTTTAAATAAATGAGAAAGATGGTCACCTAAAAACGTTAGGATTTGAAAAGATTATTCCAAGTGAGTGTGAAATGTGGGTGGAGAGAACATGGAAGGCTGGGATGAAAGGACCACATTCCTGTACTTGTGTAAGGGCACCGAGTTTCTCTTAGTTGGTTGCCTTTGCCAGGTGACTTCAGGATCAGCATCAGAGAATCCATGCAAACATACAGGTGTGAGGTGGTTGTTCCCCGGGGCCATTTTGTTTTCATGTTCATAAAAGTTTCTGGGTGTTAGAGCACACCCTATGCTCTTGCATCACCAAGGGACCTTGCTGCAAACCCAAATGCAGAGTGACCCTGAGCATCCTTCAACCCAGATTCCAGGTGGTGCAAGGCAGCCAGCCCGGCAGAGAAAAAGATTCTGGAGTTGCACGTTATGGAGAGGTCTTGCACGAAGCCTTCCCCTACCCTAAGTCCTTTCCCTAGAAATAGCTGGACCAGGGGTATCAGCCTTCGGGCTCCGGTTCGGCGCGGACACTCATCAGCACCTGCCACCTCAGCCCCTGGCCGCGGGTCGCGCGTTCGCGGACACTGAGGACTCTGTCAGGGCAGGTTTTGGATGTCAGTCGCGTGGGA